TACCAGTCAGAATGCCCATCATTCAAAAGTCCACAAATGACAAATGCTGGAGAGGCTGTGGAGAAAGGGGAACCCTCCTACACTGCTGGTGGGAATGCAGTTTGGTGCAGCCACTGTGGAAAACAGTGTGGAGATTCCTCAAAAGACTAGGAACAGACTTACCATATGACCCAGGAATCCTGCTCCTGGGCATATATCCAGAAGGAACCCTACTTGAAAAAGACACCTGCAGCCCAATGTTCATAGCAGCACTATTTACAATAGCCAAAACATGGAAAAAGCCTAAATGTCCATCAACAGCTGACTGGGTAAAGAAGAAGAGGTATATTTATACTATGGAACACTATTCAGCCATAAAAACTGACAACATAACACCATTTGCAGCAACATGGATGCTCCTGGAGAATGTTATTCTAATTGAAGTAAGCCAGAAAGAGAAAGAAAAATACCATATGAGATCACTCATATGTGGAATTTAAAAACAAAAAAACCCCATAAATATGAAACAGAAATAGACTCATAGACATAAAATACAAACATACAAACTTGTGGTTGCCAAGGGGGCGGGGGGTGGGAAGGGACAGACTAGGATTTCAAAATTTAGAATAGATAAAGAAGATTATACTGTATAGAACATGGAAATATACAAGATCTTGTGGTAGCTCACAGCAAAAAAAAATATGAGAATTAATGTATGTATGTTCATGTATAACTGAAAAATTGTGCTCTATACTGGAGTTTGAAACACCATTGTAAAATGACTATAACTGAATTAAAAAATGTTTAAAAAAGAAAAGAAAAGAAAAGGAGACTGGAGCTGGGGAAATCACACTCCCTGACCTCAGACTATACTACAAGGCTACAGTAATCAAAACAGTATGGTACTGGCACTAAAAACAGACATACAGATCAATGGAATGAGACAGAAAGTCCAGAAATAAACCCATGCACTTATAGTCAACTAATCTACAACAAAGGAGATAAGAATGTATAATGAAGAAAAGACAGTTTCTTTAATAGGTGGTGCTGGGAAAACTGGACAGCTACCTGTAAGGGACTGAAATTAGAACATTCTCTAACACCATATACAAAAATAAACTCAAAATGCATTAAAAGTCCTTAATGTAAGACTGGATAGTAATAAACTCCTAGAGGAAAACATAGTAAGAACACTCTTTGACATAAATCACAGCAATATTTTTTTGAACCAGCTCCTAGTATAATGGAAATAAAATAAAAAATAAACAAATGGGACCTAATTAATCTTGAAAGCTTTTGCACAGCTTGGATACCATCAACAAAATGAAAAGACAACCTACAGAATGGGAGAAAATATTTACAAGTGACACAACTGCCAAGGGAATAATTTCCAGCATATACAAACAGCTCATACCTTAAAAAAAAAAATCTTGGTTGTTGGCTACTATCCGGGTGCTAAATTTATATGTAGATAATGACTTAAGAAATCCACGATCATCTTAAAACTCTCTTTTACTTAGAATAAAATCCAAGCTCTTTATAATCCACCCCTTGCCTGTACTTTCCATAACATCTTGTATCTCTTTTCCCCTATCAATCCAGACTCCAGACTCTACATTTCAGAGTTTTAAATAGGTTAGTTTCTCTGCTGTTGCACTTCTTATTTTTCATACTGGAATGAAGGCTGATCCCCAGTTTGTACCTTTCACCATTTTTTCTTAGACTACTTCTAGCACATAATAGGTGGTGACAGCCTGAAAAGTGAAATTTAAGTGGGCCCTAGACACTGTCAAACAAACCTGTCTCATTTCTATAATAAACTCACTCTGTGTGTCTCTCGAAGTCTCTATTTTAATTTCTGCTCTGTCTAGTGTTCCCTCTCCCCCTTCCCCTGTGTACCACTCAATCTCAGATGACTCTGTCTCCTATATCAAAGGAAAACAGAAGCCAGCAGCACCTGCTCCTTTCCAGCATGAGGTTTACACATCCATTTTCCTTCCTTCCTCCTGATAAAAAGTTGGAAGTAGACATGCTGCCACTGAAGCCCAGCTTTCCCACAGGAGCCCTGGTTCCTCTCCCTCCGCCTTCACGGGGAGCCTCGTGTGTTCAGTCTCTGCCTGCTTCCTTCTCTAGTGCCCTCTCCTCTCTGCCGTTTAAAAATACTTAATTCAGTGCACAATTCCCTCCAGCAATATTCTCAACCTCCCACTCTCTGGCACAGCCAAATTATTGAAGAGTTATGTCCACATGCTGTGTTAAATTTCTACCTAATCATTTTTTTCAGCAGGTTCTATGTAGCTTTTCTCTATATACTTCATCTCAAACTCTCTGCTACAGTTATTGTTGGCCTCTATGTAGCCAAATCCACCACCTTTTAACATTCTTCTAACTGGACATATCAACTGAATTAGAAATATTCACCACTCTAACAATCATAATCATATTTAGATAACAATTTCCTTGATTTTTTTGTATGGCAGGTACTGTGGCAAGAACTTTATATGAATAATTTAGTCTAATAACTAAAATTCTTTGAAATATTGGAACATCTGTAAATACTAATCCATTTCACAGATTAGGAGTGTGAACAAAATTTTAAATAGTCTTGGTTGTTGCCCTAAAACACATGCTTAACAAACAAACTGTAGAATTGGAAATGGAACCCATCCCGGCTGACTCCATAGGATTCACCATTAGTCGATCTATTATACATCCTTTTCCATTGATCATTTCTTCCTTTCCACATCTATGAAACATTCATTTCAACATTTTCTCCCTAAATTCTCTGGGTCCTCCTTTTTCTATCTATTTTTCCATTTGTTCCTCTTCTGACATCTAAATGTTGGAATGCTTCAACTCAGTCTTGAGCTCTCTTCTCATTCTACATTCTTTTCCAATTTGATGTGAACATTTATAGGGGGATAATCTCACACGTGTATCTCCTGGCTACACTCATATATTCAACTCTGTAGTTTGCATATCCAATTTGTATGGTCCATGGGAAGCCCAACCATAATGTGTCCAAGTCAAAAGCTGCGCTGCTCTTTCCAAAGTGTTCTCTCTCTTGCCAGTACCACTTTATGAAGTCACTTCCATTTACCAGTTTGCTTAAGAGAACAAGTGGAAAACAAACATATGAGTCCCTTGAGCTTCAGATCTTTCTGTCACCCAACATTTAGT